AGGCTGCTTGAAATTCCTGTGGTGCTAACACAAGTACCCTCAATTACTGCATTGAAGGGTATTTGACAATATCAGGATGTATACACAATGCAAAGAGAGAGAGAGAGAGTGAGGAAGCAGGTGGTCAAGTAGGCCAGCAGTTCAGTTTTTCCCAAGGGCCTCCTCACAGGTTAATCTAACCATGATGCAATCTGAATTACTAAATAGCTCTCACAGATTATTGTAGGCAACAGAAGATTGGTTTCTCAACACAGCTGCAAATATGAAGTATGCCTGGCCTGTTGATGAAAGGTTTATCAAATGATAGTCATAAGTGGACATGCAATCACACACCAGTGCTCTTATTGCACATTTTATATTTCATACTGCTACATTTTATAAAATGAAACTGCTGACCTTAAATTCAGAAATGCATCCACTTGACAGAACACTTACATTATCTGCAGTTAAATGTGGGTGGAGGGTCAACACAGAAAAAAAACATGAGATGCATTTTTACATTCATCCTCACAAAGGTGTATTTAAAAACAGTTACATGCCGCCGTGTTAACATGTAAACACCTATTTTTCTCTGTGGATGGAAATGTCACCACTATGGCCCTGAATCAAATAACTCAACTTCTATTTGGATGGATTGCCAGAGACATTCATGGTACCCTGTATTTAAATAACCTTGGTGATCCCCTAATTTTCATTTTGGCACCACCATGAGGTTGACATTTGTGATTCTGAGTGAAATTCCTCAACAACTATCATATGGAGTGCTATGAAATTTTGTACAAACATCTAAGGTGCCAAGATGATGAATACTTGTGACTTGGTGATACCCTGACTTTTCATCTAGCTCTATCATCAAGTCAAACTTTTTATTTGATCCTGTACTTCAGTTTATGGCCCAGAAGATCGCAGCACATGTGGCAGCTTGGATTGTACCTTATTTGTACATCACTTTGGACAAAATGTCTGCCAAATCAATACATGTAAATGTAAACGTCATACCTGCTATGTTTTGGCACTGTCATTGTGAGCATGTTAGCATGCTGATGTTAGTGTTTCAATACGAAGCACTGCTGTGCTGGAGCACAGCCTCACAGACCTGCTAGCATGTCTGTAGAGGCAATCTACATCTTTATTTATATGTTAAAGGTTTTGTTTATGGAGTTTTTCCTTGCACTGGTGACCTGTCCAGGGTGTAGCCCGCCTTTGGCCTGATGTCAGCTGGGATTGGCTCCAGCCCCCCGCGACCCTGTACGCAGGATAAACGGTTGACAATGGACGGATGGATGGATGGATGGAGCTTTTCCTTACATATTGTGAGATAGAGGAAGTTGTATGTGTGTCTTATGCTTGGGCTTTATAAATAAAAGTAACTCGACTTTTACTCTTTGGATCCAAACAATAGGAGATTTAGGACATACTATGTGAAACCTTCAACACTTGCAAATGTGTATTTGGAGTGGAAATCATATACAGTGACACTATATGGATATTGCATAATGTCCTAAGAGTAGTATAAAGTTAAATACCAGTCTGTCTACCTGCCCCCCCTCTTCTCCAGCTACATTTCTGTTGTCCCAGGCCCTTCCGCCCACAAGATGCCCTCGGACTTTCCCTCCTTTCCCCGTCACCTGACTGCCCCACCCAACCACACACCTGTTCTCACTTCCCACATATGTATTCTGTTGATGTGAGACCTGTTACCTGCCTGCCTTGCTTTATGGACTTTTGATTTTCTGCCTGCTACCTTGGATTTGCACACTTGGTTTGATAGAAATCATTGAACTGCATCAAGCTCTGCCTCAGTTGTTGGCATGTCGCACACCAAACCCTGACAACAGTACAGACAAAATCACACCTGCAAGGGTATTATACATCAGCCAAACTTCTCTTTAAACAAGAAGCTCAAAGTGATAAAAAAAAAATGTAGTAATTATCAGCATGCTTGTCTGGTGGGCAACATGTTGCATACTCAGGGCAACTCACCTCTGCTGAAGTGTAGAATCAGCAGCAGACTGATGAAGATCTTTACAGCAGCGGCCATCTTCGTGGTTTATTCACTGGGAAGACAAAACAGTTTCAGTGACAATACCTGCTTAGAAACATATTTAAGAATGAAAACCACTTGATTTTATAAACTTCGCCTGATTAACTTGAATAACCAAATGAATAATATGACAGTCAAAATGTCGTTACTGCAGTGACTAATTGTAAATTCCTTTAATTGTGTTCTTTAAACATCTGTTATAAACAGACTACATGCTTGTATTTTATAATTCACTGTCGAATAAACTATCTATAGATGCACAAAACAAGGGAGGATAGAAAATTGCTACCATTTGACACATAAATGAGACACAAAGAAGAGATTTAACTGAAGCATGCAGTAATACAGACATGTGGACAAGAAAAGCAACATTTATAATTCATGTAGAGTTGTACCAGAGTAGAAGGAGTATGTAGTCCAAATATAAACAATGGAAGCACAACTAAAATATAAATACAGGACTGAAATAAAAAAATGGCAAGATTTATGCTGACTTGAAATACAAATCAAACGAGATGTGATTATAACTGAACCTGTAAGAAAATGAACTCATGAAGATGTAAAACAAAAATAAGAAGGCTGTATGAGAAGACTGTGAAAACGATAAATATATATATGAAGACAATAAAATTTCTTTTGTCCCAACTCACAGAACAAAACATGAAAGGTCCTTCCAGCGCTGCCGTCAGTCATTGAAGATGCAACAGGTTTCTCAACAACACAACAACAAAAAACACAGATAATCCATTTCGTGCTCAAGAGGAATATCCAAATCAATTCAGTGGGGAGGTTTTGCAGCCAGCATCTGCACAGGCGACAACCGTCTTCCTGTCTGGAGTCAGTAATGCAGAAAGCTCTGAGACCCCAGCCCCCTTTCACTCACTGTTAATCCGTGTTTGCATCTCACACTCATTTATGTCAATGCTGCTTTGCAGTAGGGTGATAATGGGGGTCTGCATTCAAAAATAGAAGCCAGTGGGCCAATAACAGGTTTTTACTCCTACACCAGCAGAGTGAATACTGAAAGGAGAGCAGTGAGAGGAGGCAATATAAAAAAAGATGTAGGGAAACAATTTATGCTACATGGAGACTACTTCAACTTCTACTTCACACACACACACACACGCACACACACACACACACACACACACACACACACACCGGTTTTCAGCTGGAAATCACACTTTGTGTACCACTTTTGAATAAACCTACAGCTTGTGGCTCCCTCTAGTGGTTCAAACTGCTCTTAGACACAGCTGTCTTATGTTCTTTGCCTTGTGTTTGATTGGAGAGATGATTTCAAGAGATATGAGTGGGAGGAAGAGACAACAGGAAACTTTTGTGTTTGTAAACAAGGCAAGGCATGTTTATTTGTATAGCACATTTCAACAACAATCAATTTAAAGTGCTTTACATTAAACATAAAACCAACATAGGGGGAAAAAAAAAAACTGCAATTTGAGAGTCAGAGAGTTTGTTCCAGATATATGGAGCAGAAAAACTGACCATTGCTTCTCCATGTTTAGTTTTGATCTAGGGGACAGAAAGCAGACCTTTCCCAGATGACCTGAGAGGTCTGGATGTTTCATAATGTAGCAGAGGATAAGAAATGTGTATTGGCCCTAAACCATTCAGTGCTTTATAAACTCAATCTTTGATAGACAGGACTTGAATTGCAGCTTCTGAATCAGCTGCAGCTGTCTGGTTGGTTTTTGACCTGTGAAGATACCGTCTCAGCAGTCGAGTCGACTGAAGATAAATGGTAAGTGAATGATAAGTTTTTCCAGGTCCTGCTGAGACATAAGTCCTTTAATCTTGATATATTCTTCAGGTGATAGTAGGTTGACTTTGTGGCTGCTGAAATTTAGGTCTGAATCCATGAGATTTCGGGCTTGGTTAGTGGTTTTTAACAAGAAATGTATGGATAATGTAAAGAGAAAACATGGTTAGTTTGTTTGTTTGTTGTTAGTTTCTAACAGGAGACTTTGTTTTGTTCTGCACAACAAAGGCAATGGGTATTTTTGATCTTATTAAGGGACTGTATGAAAATTAATGGGATGGGAAAGTGGGGCTGAACCTTATGGTTAATTTTTATTTAAAGAAAAACACTCCCTAGCATTATTAATATTTTCTTTAGACCCACACTTTTACTTTGAAAATACCCATCCTTTTGTAGGCTGAAGAAAGCAGCATTAGGCACAGGAGGGCTTCGGGCTAAATGCTAACATCAGCATGCTAACAACGACAATGCTAACATGATGTTTTTCAGCAGGTAGAATGTGTGCCATGATCGCCATGATTACTTTTAGGTGTTTGATCATAAACCAAAGTAAAGTATTGGACAAATTGAAATTTTGACATGATTATGGCAGTAAAAGTAAAGAGAAGGAATTGCCAAAGTTATTACAATTCATCCTGAGGGAAACATGAGTCACGACTGTATATAAAAAGGTCACGACCAACAACAGCATCCCAGAGCTGCTGCTAGCATGGCTAAAAATGTAAACCATTGGGATATCACTGGTCTTTGAGAATGAGTGGTGTGATTGTTTAAAAATCTGTAATGCTTATATTTGTTGAAATTTGCATTTTCACTTACTGATACAGCCCAAGGACACCATTAAAGAGACACTCTTCCAGGGAGAAGACATATAAAAACATATTATTTTAGTGTTGACACTAAGTACCACAGTGGGGATGTGGATGATTTCAACGTCTGTTTTCATCCCATATCAGGTAATTTCACCAGTGGTCTTTTCCCCCAGAAACTTGATTCATTTCCTGCAAAACTATTTCAGGCTGAGGTTGGACTGTGAATGCATGCTGCTGTGGGGTGATGGATTAAAGGAACGCTTTTCCCTGAGAAAGTGAGTATTGTATTCTGGCACAGTGGATGGGAGTATTCACATGTGTGGGCGCAAAATTATAGTGCATACCCATGGTACAGAAAAACAACTGCTTTTGACAATCTTATATAATTAGGGTTTGTGTATAAGCTTTTAACTAACATTTCATCTGTAAGAGCACATTCACTTTCAGAGAACAGAGACACTTTATGAAAATTTTGTCCTAGCCAAAACTGATCGAAGGTTTTGATCACTTAACAAAGATTGTCTATCTCTACAAAACCTGGAATATGTTCAGAGAAGCATGTTCAGCCAAAAGCACAGAAATATTGCAGAATTGAAAAAAGATATACAGCATGTAGCCTACCATACCAAGCAGAATGTAAGAGAACCGAGAACAGCATATTAACTGAATTTAAAATTATTCATGTTAAAGAGAATGAAGCGACTTCGTGTCATGAATTGTTTGATTTAACAATATATATTTATTTTTTTTCATTATTTAATAGTATCTGAATCACAATCCAGACCATGAAATATCTTACAAAAACTGTTTGTGTGGACTAAATATAAGAAGAACAACACTAAGAGTAGCAGCTGTACTTTGGCTTAACACTGTGATTTCAGCCAATGCTAATGCCAGCAACCTAGCATGCTAAGATGCTCACAATGACAATGCTAACATGCTGATGTTTAGCAGGAATAAATTTACCATGTTCACTATTTTCATTTAATGTGTTAGCATGCGAACAATTTCTAATTAGCACTCAACATAAAGCACGGATGAGGTTCATGTGTATTTGGTCATAAACCCTGATGATGGCACTAGATAAAAATTTAGGGCATCACCAAAGTCAGTAAGATATCTAGGCAGTATGAATGTCTGTACAAAATTTCATTTGTCCAGTAATACTTGAAATATTTAAGTCTGTAACAATACAGCCATTTCCATGCATAGAGCCACGCTGCTAGTGTTGGTAAAAAGTAAGAAGCCCACACTGAATGTGTGACAGATGACATGAAATATAGTTGATGAATGAACTATGAATGAATGGAGACAAAGCAAACAAAACTAAAACTGCATAAGATCACCATATTAAAAGGTACCCTGTGGAGTTTTCTTGTAAACAATCACAGTTCAGGGCACCAAAATGCATTACAATATTTCTCTATGCGTTACTGCCAACAGTTGAATAGCGTGTTTTGCATGCACAACGCATGTTTATTGCCGCCCTCTGCAAACACCAGCTCATTAAAACGTTGCTCCATAACGCCAACAGTGGTCAAAAAACTCCAAAGGGTGCCTTTGAAATCCTCACTTGATAATCTGTATCTGAACAGAAACTGCAGTGTAAACATTTCGCAAATTAATATTTTGTATTTTTTAATGACACCAGCAACAGACGACATTATCAAAATGGTATCAGTAAAGAACATAAAAGACAAAGATAATATCGGTGAGACAGACAAAGAGTAAAGGAAGAGAAATGAAAAAAAAAATGCAGATAAATATGACTTGCACGACAGATTATCACCTTTGAACAAAAACATCCAAATGATGCCTCTAAAAGTTAGACCTGCAGTTACACTTAACAAACTCAATACTTTTGCATTCGGAAGCTTACCTGGGAGTGAAACCCATCAGACCACAATGTGACCACAATTGCACTTTTATGAATATAGAACACTTACACAATTACTGTTTTAATCTGTTATTCACAAGCAAAGAATTGAATTACATGTCAGATTAACAAAAGAACTGAAAAAAATGAATCTGTCATATTGTCTTTGGTTTTCAGGAGTCACATTTTCTTTCTGATTCATTTAACTTTTATTTTTCATTATTATTTTTTTAAATTTTTTTAATTTTACTAAAATCACTTTTTTCCAAAATTATTAGATTTTTGTGACAACAGAACTAAAGTTTGACTCAATTTCTGTTATAAAAATACAATAAATATATTATATATTGTGGGTTGTTCAGAAAAATTGCATACTGGTAAACATTTTCCTTCTAACATCTCTGCCGAAATGCACTTGTGAGGACAAAGGGAGAGAGGAGGGGAAGGATCGTTAAGTTACAACATATTAATCATTCAACAACGTCATCTCCTCCCTCCTCTCTGTCTCCTTCCAGTCTCTTGGTTCAGATCCATCCATCCCATTCTCTTTCATTCGATGTCTCTGTCTTTAGGTTTAAGCGAGGTACATCCTGAACACCCACCGAGTCCCTTCTCCTTCGCATGTAGTCGAAGCGAGGCAGAACCAGAACGTTACCTTCCAGTTCGTTTTTGGCGCCAGTGGCTGTGGCGTCACTCAAGGCTCTCTCCTCCTCCACAGACATGATATTCTTCACCAAGCACGTCATGGCAGCGTCAATGTTGGTGTTGTCCTGCAGAGAGAGGACGGAGTTGAAGGGTTAAAGAAGGGTGATGTAGGTAGAGAGAGAGAAACAAGGGAGGAGAGAGAGCTGTAACAACAGACATAGATCATGTCCACTAACTTTTAAAATGCTATTTAAATGCGGACCACAGAATTGTTTTTCTGCTCTTTGCAGATGATGTGGTTCTCTTGCTTTATCAGATTGACAGACATAGAGATAGGGTAAGACACTCAGACATCCAGAGGAAGCTTGAAGTAAAGCTGCTGCTCCTTTGCATCAAAAGGAGTCAGTTGAAATGGTTAGGGCATTCGACCCAGAACACACTTGAAAATGTTGCTTGGGAAAGGGGGCCTCTGAACTACCTTACATAGTGTGCTGCCACTGATGAGATGAAAGCAGCAAGAGTGAAAGTAAAACATAAAACCGACACAATGAACTGAAAGACGCTTAAATGTTTGTGGGTTCTTTATTACAAGCGCCATCTTTCACATTAAATATAATGGTACAAATCTTTTCCATTGTTAACATGAAAATAAAAATTGGTGCAGCTTTAAATAATTAGCTAATATTAAAATCATCAAATTTTCTTTTTATTCACAACAGAAAGAGATATACCTGTTACAAATTCAAATCTGTACGTTTCTGTTAAATCAAATTTAATTTCCTTCACGGATTGAAACTATCTCTCCTAATAGTAACTGTACATATTCCACAAGTACGAAGATTGACCAGCGGGGTCAGGTGACATGGATCATTACTTCAAGTAAGATCTGTTAAAGTGTATCTCTTTTATGTCTTCACTGTGAAGGAAGTTCTTTCTGAGAGGTTAAAAAGGGGACATAAAGGCAGAGACAAGAGATTAAGGCTATAAAGGTTCTTCATTGTACGCTATAAAAAGCCGTGCTTCTAACTTGCAAATAGAGATCATCTGAATAAGTAGATAAATAAAATCTAATTGACCCCGTAAAACACTTGTATCACAATAAGTTCCTTGTATACAAATCTTTTTAACATCTCTTCAGGCCCTTTCAGACACAATGTTGAACTTGAATGTGCGCGAGCACCTACGGCGCGGACTTTGCTCAAAGCAATGAAAAGCTGTCGTGTGAGTCGTTGCCATTGGAAATAATGTGTTTCAGAGTGCAGTGGTGCTGTTACCATGTTGTGTCTAAAAGCACCTTTAGGCTCTTGGTTACAATTGAAAACGGAGTTTAGTTTTTCTAAACGTGTTACTGTATGTTGGCAGCAGACAGAGAGCGCTGCTTGAATTTGAAGACATTACCCAATAAACAAGTAATATATGCAAATGACTGGACACTTACTTGGCCTAAATGTGTTCCTCCTAACAGACTAAAAAGATGCGTCCTTTACTGAGTGCAAGTTGCTCTGAGTCAAGTGTGTTAGCCTCAAAGTTTTAGCCTTAATTAAAGTGTGAATGTGCTACTTCCTGTGTATAGAAAAGACTTGCAGCTATTGAACATACCAGACAACAGAACTTCTAAATTTTGTGATTAAAATCTGTATTAAACTGTTGACTAGTGCAGCTTTAAAAGCAGCGAAACAGACACTGACAGAGGCAGACTTAAAAATAAGGGAGAGAGATAAATTAGGGACAGAAAAGAGAAACTAAGTGAAGTGGAGGAGTGTGTGAGACATTAGGCTAATAAGTGTCACACTGACAAAATATGCATTCATATTTGTTTACAGAGAGAAAAGACAAAAAGAAGTGTGAGGGTGACAGCGAAAGAGAAAGAAATCACAGTTTAAAACCGTATTTGCCTCCCATGAGGACACACACAAGCAGAGGACTATTACATCTCACCTTGGCCGAGGTTTCGTACCAGCCGACAAATCCGTACTCTTTCGTGAAGTTCTCCAGTTTGGGCAGCTTGGGGCACAAACCCTGACGCCGCTGGTCACACTTGTTGGCCAATAGAACGGCTGGAACCGTCCTCCCGTTGCTAAGAGCGACCTAACGGCACCAGGAAGTTGACAAGTAGAGAATTCTTTAAATCAGTCACTCTGGTGGATTGTTTTGTGCTGTGTTCTGAAATGTGAGGGCGACCACATGAAACACAGAGTACCAGCTCTGAGGAAGTGGGTGACTGCAAAGGCTTGTACAGATGAGGCCAACAAATGCACCCTTGGATGAGCCTCGTCCAATCGCAAAGTCAGGAAATATTCCATAACAACATAGTATTTACCAGGTACCTGTGTTTGTCATAAGTTGTGTGGAAAAACAGTATTTCACATGTGGCGTAATGCCACAATAATGCTAATGTCAGAAATAAACTACTGGTTAACAGCCTGTACGAGTTGTTAATCACAGGGTTTCATGCAGATATATTTACCATCAATGTAACTAACTACATTTATTCAAGCACTTTGCATATGTACTGTTCTGAGGTACTTGTGCTTCACTACAGTATTCCCATTTTAGGCTACTTCCACTCCAGCCAATACTGTCCTTTACTCATCCTGTACTTTATACTTTTACTAGTTGTACTTTGCAGATTCAGATTATTAACATAAAATATAAATCAACTTATAAATTATGATGTGTAATTATGGATTAAGATACCTGGTAGTACATAAAGTAGCTCAAATTAGCTCAACCTTTACTATATGCAAAATTAGTGATGCTTACACATTAATGCATCAATAATTATAATCCAACAATGTAATAAACATTCTTCTGTAATGGGCCATTATGCATAATGAGTAATTTTACATTTGAAACTTTAAAGGGGCTATTTGTAGTTTTTTAAATGAAATAAATCACTTTTTTATTGTCAATGGACTCAAAACTCACTTAGGAATGAAGCACACGCTTGTTTTCTCTGTGTCTTGGATCAGCCACTATTCTGCTTTTGTGGGGACCCTGTGCGCGCTCCCGAGCCTCTCTCGTACTATAGCGATAACACAGCAGCTAACGACATGCGAAGTCCATTAACACCATAAAACAACCGGCTTGCAGCAAAACACAGGCTCCACGTAAGGATTCAAAACAACAATTAATTTTTATGTGCTGAAGCCCACCAGACCAAACAGGTTCAGATGATGTTGAGTAAGAACAAAGTGAGCATTAAGCTGCGTTCACACCGAAAACGAATTTAATATTCGCCTTGCTTTACTTGCGCAAGTTTGACCACTGGACATTTTGAGTGTTCACACACACGCGTTTTAAGCGAATTAACACAGCCCGCGGATACTACAGCTATATGAACACAAAGTAAACCCTTGGCTGTGATTTAATTGCAATAAACGGATCAAACTGATGCCAAAATCACTACAATATGATGCCGTTTTGTTAGACATATGAATTCATACTTTGTCAGGTCTGTCAGCAAGTCAGCAGGACGACAACTTTTAAAATACGTGTTTTCTGAATGGAGTTCGGATCGATCAGGGCTATGCTATGCTAACTTTTTCACAGTAAAGTACAACGACACTGGAATAAAGTTACAGACACACATTTTCTGAACTCACCAGGTAGTTCAACTTCCTCGCTTTCTTTTCTTCAAGTAATATCCGGCTTTGTCCGGTTTTTATATAAATATGAAGAAGTAGTCCAACAGAACTACGGTGCCATCCGACGCTAACAACAGTGGGACCAGATGTGCACAGAAGTTAGCTGCCGAGACGTGCGAGTGAAGATAAATCAAGTTGTAATTCCAGAAACTAAAGTAAAAATCTCATTTAATAAAACCAGTAAACTCTGACCTCCTCCCGCTGGTAAACGGTATAGTTGTCAGAGCAGAATCCAGATTACTACGGGTGTTTATTTTTCCGAAAGCTGCAGCGCTGTCCCCGTCCACTTCCCCGTTCTTTAGCCGCTCTCCGTCGGCCAGTGGATTGTCATTACACCGCTCGCCTGGTCATCTCTAAACAGTGCTCCGAAGCCGCCGGTGACGTTTGGACAATCTCACCGCTACTAGGCTTTCGCAACATCGCGTCAAGCGAATTTCTCGCCCAAGTTGAAAAATTTGAACTCGTGCGAACCAGCGAATTGCGCGACAAACGCCTCATTTGCGCCGCCCAGAACGAATTCGTAGGAATTCACGTCTTTGCATTGATTTTGTATGTAATCAAGCCGCCCCAAAAGCTGGATTCACTTTCGGTGGGAACGCACCTTTAGTAAAGCTGCAGAAACACAGAGAACGTTAGCTCACCAGCTAACGCAGAGCAGTTGCTAATGTTATCCGGTGCAAAGTTATATCGCTTTTCAGATTACTTCACCAACTAACGCGACCCATGTTACTATCCTGTGTACCACTGTTGATTTAGCCTGCAAGAAAGGATGTAACGGTAAAAAGCAAATGTGGAGCGATTTGTTTACTAACATTAGCCTATAGTGATGCAGCCAGGAGCAGCCAGGTAACGCTACAGTAGCTCGGACCTGCCACTGTTTGCTTAGTAATGTTCAGTATAGGTTTATTATGGTTTTACCAATACTCGGGTACACATCTTCTCCACCTCTCAGTCGCTGTAACTATGCACACATATTACTAAGCCTCTGATAAAAGAGACACAAATAGTCATTGAAAAGCCGGCAGGCGAGCTAACGCTGATGTAGCACATCAGCTAAATGCAGTCAATGTAGCGTTATCATGTAACGAGCAGGGATTAGTTCAACATGAAGCTAATAAATATATTACTGTAACATTGCAGTGGGAGTTTAAATGTGTTTTCAGCATGTTGTGTGAAGCTGTCTCCCAGTGTTTCGGTCTCTGTGTGTCTGATTATGCTCGCTCATGAGTATGACCACAGGGACGAGCACACACACCAGGTTGCAGTCTGAAAACCGCAGCGCTAGTGGCCGCTGAAAACTACATATGGCCCCTTTAAGTGTATTTTGATGCTAGTAGTTTGTACTTTCACTTAAGTATGATTTTGAATGCAGGACTTAACTAATATGCTTACTAGCTTACTGCTGCTATTTATACTTTGACAGCAGCTTCTTTGTGATGAACCTGGAAATATTTAACTTTATGAGTTGATGAGGAGCGCCTGAGTGCACCATTAATTTTGGTTTCTGTGAGGCTGGACTGTTTCATCTTTTCCATCCTGCGTCCTTCCAGCCCCCAAACCCAAAGTGGGACACAGCTGTTCTCTCTATTGATTTATCTGTATTGTTGTCATTTGGTCTCCTGCTTCATGGTCTTATGGCTGGTGTTTTCGTGGGTGCACGTCTTCTGTGGCATTTTTAATAGCTGCTGCAAGAAAGGTTTCCTTTGACAAGACAATAAAGTAAAGTAAGCTTAGGTAAAATAACTGCTACAGCAAGCATAATGAGGTTACTCTGATATAAGATACTCAGTTAATATTTGCCTTTTCACCTTTAGTCAGATATTCAAATTTAAATCTGATGTATACCATTTGAAATAGAGGTTGCATAAGAAAAACACAACAGCAGAAAATCCCGTGTAACTGTAACGCAAGTGTAAAAATATCCAAACAATGCAAGCAACACAAGCTTTACTGTTCTGGTGCAACGTACAGTGAAGCAAATTCAGCCTGTCAAGGCTATTAAAAGACTGTCTTGGTAATGTGGCTAGTCATGAATGAAGCAGAAGTAGACACGGCAAGTGGAAGGAAATGCTGATACAAAATAACAAATGAACACAGTACAAAGGAACATGTTTTGTGACTCAAACAGTCATCTCCGTCCAAGGGTGGATATTTTCTTTAAATTGCGAATTGCAGATTGGTCTTTTAAACATCTTTTCACTCCTTCTCTCTTTCTACCTCATTCCTTCCATCTCTCCTTTACTTGCTACTCACGTCCTCCTACCTTCCTTCATCATATTTACCTTTGAGTCCAGGTCTCCTTTCCACTTGAGGACAGCCTGAAACGTGGACAGTCTAGTCATGTCGAAGACGACGAGGGCCCCTACCGCCTCTCTGTAGTACACACGGGTCATGTTGCCGTAGCGTTCCTGCCCTTTTAACAAAAACAGAAAAGACAACAGAATAAATTCTGTTTCCAAGGTCTAGGTTATTTTTCTTCATTATAGAGACTTCATTAAACTTTATTAGATACCTGAAAATCTTCATATGTCTAAGCTAACCTTAAATATCTCTTTCTGGCCTGCCCTCAGAGTGAGCTGATTATGATTTATTCAATGAAACAAATACTCACTTTGTTTATAAAGTGACATAATGCAATAATGCCTCTTTAAGAAGGTGGAATAAGTGTGTTGTTTGGTATTTTTGCTTGAAACCCATTACTTGTCTGTTGATCAACTGATTGATTAATTGACTAATCATTGCAGTTCTAATATCAGAGTCTTAATCAAGGAGGAATCAGATTAAAATAACCTATTGTTAAAAAGTGTGTGTGCATGCAGAAAAATGTTGCATGCAAGTACGTGTGTGACCGTGTGTGTGTGTGTGTGTGTAACTGAATATACTGTATGAATAAGTCTCTATCCTCAACGCTAACTTCCTCCACATGATCCTAATATGGTGTTGAATCAGCAAGAGAGCATCTGATACATCCGCGCGACACACACACACACACACACACACTGCACATGACCTGCGCAGTAAGACAACAGCCGATACAAAAACTGAACTCACAGGAACACACACACAAACACATGCAGTTGTTTACTTAACTATCTTTCTAAGCAATCTTTGTCTTTATCTCACCAAACACGAGACTTTAAACGCTTTCTTAACACTATATGATCGGTGCTAACAAAGCTCAAAGCTCAAGACCAAGATTTTGCTGTTGTAGCAAACCCTCTTATAGACATTAGGTCAGTCCTGGAACCTGAAAACATTTGTTTCAGTTTCAGAAGCTTTTCCCACAAGATTGATTTCAGTTTCTGTAGAACCTAAAAATTAGCTGACAGTTTGTACAAGGTCGTTGTGTTGTTTTTAAATTTTGAATATTTTTTATATATTTTTGAATCATAACATTTGTTACATTTTATTACATGTAAAGTCAATTTGTAAACCATCTTTCTACAGCATCGCAAACGGCTTCCTGAGTAACTAAACAAACGACCTTCACACACTAAAACAACACACAACGTATCTGTAATCAGCCTTTAAAATGCGGGTTGCTCTGTCGTATCAAACAAGAAGTTAGCATCATTCAGGGCTCAACTGGCCAATTTCCAATGGGAGTTTTGCATAAACTTGGGCTGTATCCAAAACCACCTACAATTTTAGCAGTACGCACTCATTTGGCTTAAATGTACCATCTAGTATGCAGTATGCAAACCACAGCAATATCTGTAATATGCGGATGTCTGTACTATTTCAGAAACAACCTCCAGTATGCATTGGAACAGTCCGACTCACGTTCTGTGTCCCACAGTGCAAAGCACTAGGACGGTCACAACCATAGACTGTATACAAAACAACCGTTCTTTAGTTAACCAGGCAGTCCCAACAACCCGTCAATGGCAAACAAGTGGTGAACAAGGAGAAATATAACAACTCTGTCCCTGCTAACAAAAGTATAACGTTAGAATTAAGTTACGTGTGCCATGTTTTTGTATTGACAGCTCGGTCAGGTTAACGTTGCTGTCTTTGTGATATCAAACGTTATCTTAGCAGACTTAACTTGTTATGGGTAGTAGGATAAATGCAGTTAGCTATAACGTTACGTTTGTTACGGATTGGCTGTAGCTTTCTTGTCTTTACACAAGATTAAATTAGAAAAATTTGTGTAAGTGTAATTACATTTATATTCCTCACATTGTTTTCTACCACTTCCCAAAACCTAGCATAGTTTCTGGTAGTATGTAGTAGGTTGTTCTGAATACAGTCTTGGGTTTGTGTTGTTTCATATATGTAATAATCAGCTTGCAGAAAGTTTAGACATACAATATGACAATTAAGCTCCATAAAAGACTTGTTGTCTCCAACAATCACATCAAAAGCAGACCTTTAATTATATTGGACCCATGCCTCAATTACAGTGACACAAATAGACTTGAAAGCTCAGAGTGCATATATTAAAACACTACTTTGACATTTTGTAGAATACGCTTATTTGCTTTCTTGCCAAGAGTTAGATGTGTATCTAACTGTGTGCATCTACTATCTGCAATAAAATGAACATTTCCCAAAATGTCAAACTATTCCTCCATTGTGAATTTCCAAGCAGCACAATGTCCTCTAGGCTATTTATTTTACTGTGTTTAGTTCAAAGTACAGTTTAAAGTGTGTAAAACTTTGGAGATTGTCTTCTTGATGTGAATATCAGTCAGTAAGTCTTTACTCACTGCAAACTAATTGTCTTCCAGTGTTAAACTTCAATTCAAAATCTGTTAATTTAGCCCTGAGTGAAGTTAACTTTCAGGTTAGTCTACAAAAAGACGTCATAACTTGACAAGTGTTTTAAACAGCATCTAGCCATTAATAACCTCGCTCCTCTGTACCTCACTGACCTCCTTCATATTAACACACCCACCCGTACTCTTAAGGTCTTCTTCTTCCATTCAACTCACTGTACCTCCTGCTCGTCTGATAACCTTGGGGTTCAGAGCCTTCAGCCGCTCTGCTCCTCTTCTCTGGAACTCTCTTCCACCGGACATTCGCAACATTGACTCACTTTCCAATTTTAAATCCCGCCTGAAAACACATCTTTTTAAACTGGCATATCCCACGTGATCACTCTTTCTCAATCTTTGTTTCCAGTTGTTTTGTACCCTGATTTTATGCACTGTAATTATAGTTGTTAATTTTATCGATTATTGCTTTACTGTTTTATTATGTTTTGTGAGGTGACCTTGAGTTTTCAGAAAGGCGCCTATAAATAAAATGTATTATTATTATTATTATTATTAAAAAACCTGACTGTACAAACCTTTCATTGACATGGGGGTGATGGTGCAGTGGATAAGGTTCAATCCCGCACTGTGACCTGCCCACGAATGTGTCCCTGAGCAAAACACCTAACCCCTAGTTGCTCAGGAGGCGTGAGACCTCTGACATGAATAACAATTGTAAATCGCTTTGGATAAATGAATAAATGTTGATGGTGTAAAAACTGACTTTACTCACTAATTTTATCTTGACACTGCAGTGAATAAAATGTTGCAAATGTTAAATGCAAAAAAACCCTTGAAAATGCAACTGTGACCTTTTGTTAACTGTTAACTGTAAGAAGGGTTAGCTAATGGACAAGTGGACAATTATCACTTTAAAGCACTGACGAGGATAATCTACCAACTCTGTGTGTGTGGAAAAAGCCCCATTGACCCAGTTTAAAGCCTCCATGCAGCGACTCCAGTGTGAAGTCATCAGTGTTTACTGGTCTAAAGTCCGTCTGTCTAACAGCCTCAGCCGGATGTCTACATGTAAATGATGGCTCGTCAGCTATCACATTGTTTAACACCCATTCACTCAGCAAAAGGCAGATAGGCTACAGTGTGTTTCGATGCATGTGACAGGTGAGACACGAGGAAGAAAAGTGTTTCCCAAAGAACATTATATTACATGCAATTATTGGGAGACATGGTGGGATTTATAACAAGCTTTCTCGTTAAAATACCTAATCTGGCAGGTAATGTGACGTACTGGAGGGTAAACTCATCATTTCATCTGCAGGAACAGACGTTAACCACATTTTCTGGGCAGTCACTACTTGTGTCATGCATCATCATCGTTGGATGTGTCAGCAAGAAGCAAAATGCAGATTACCGTAACTTGCTTCTGCTGATATTACCAGGTGACAAAAAGTAGCTAGATGTTCAACTATACTTTGCTTATTTACTATGGCAAGGAGATCTGACATTGCGGATGAAGATATCCGTAGTGCATGTATTATATGATATATAATTACATTTTGAGAATCAAAATTCAAATTTAAGATATCTCTAATTACGTTCTGATTAAGTCATGTTAAATGTGCTTGTGTTCAATATATTATCTGAATCTAAGCCCAAACAGAAAATACAGTGTCTATAACCACTTTCATACAGATTTCAGTCACACTTTGTATGCTAAGTGCTAATGTGTGTTTTGACATGTGTCAAATGTAAAACAGAAAATGTATGAGTCTGCCAGGAGTCATGAACAGAATCCACAGACTGTGTATTTTATAAAGAGTTAGTTATAGCAAAACATATGATTCTCTTAAAAAATGTAAACCCTTCATACCACTTTTTAAAAGCCTGAATCCGATCTGAAGATGAACCCTAACTAGAGCTGAAATCTAGTTAATTGACAGAAAAATAATCAGCACTTATGTGGATAATCGGTTAAACTGTTTTTCAAACAGAAATAGCAAAAAAAGGCCAATTGTCCTTTAGTTCCAGCCTCTTAAATTTGAGGATTTGCTGCTTTTCTTTGTCATGTAACATTATTAACAGAATGTATTTGGGTTGTGGACTATTGGTTAAACAAAAAAATAAGAAGGAATTTTATGATGGCACCTTGGCCTCTGGAGAGTTTTTTTTATCACAATCTTTTTCACAATTTATGATTAATGTGAAAAAAAAGTAATAATAATATCTTAAATGATTGTAACATCATACAAATTTCAATTGATGTGGTGTTTGGTATCATAGTTGAGTAATTCATATGTGTTTTATCATGTCAGTCATGTTCAACTCTATACAAAGCAAGTATGAAGTCTGCATAGAAACATGAACATTTAGGACAGAATCCAAACTGTGCATGGTCACTTAGAAATAGTATATTATAGGTTATCATGTCCAATTCTCTCGAATTAGGTAGACTTAACCTTGATAGCATTTATTTATTAAAAACTTGAACCCAAACTGAAGATTAATAAAACCCTGTAGGCTATTTGTGGACTCATGACCTCAAACAGAAGTGAGCCTCATAGTGACAGACTGTCTAATATTTGACTATGCAAATAAATAGTGAACATGAGGTTTTCTTTCTGGCTCATAACCACAAACTGGGGATCATTTCACACACACACACACACACACACACACACACACACACACACTTTAGACGCACCAGCGATGTCCCACAGCTGCAGCCGCACCACCGTCTTGTGATCCCAGTTGAGCACTTTGAGGGCGAAGTCTACTCCGATGGTGGCGCGGTAGTGCTGGGAGAAGATCTGGTGCACGTAGCGCTTTATGATGGACGTTTTACCGACTCCAAGATCGCCGATGACCAGAACTTTGAGTAGGCGCTCGCGCTGCATCGTTCCTGCTCCGGGTGAGAGCGCGCGTTAAATGGATGACACAGTGAGGTCTCCAATTATGGGTTCCGCATGAAGACTAGCTGCAAAATGCGGAGGGTTTGGCCAGTGACAGTCGGTCTGCTGCAGCAATAGGTCTAAATGTTTTTGTTTTTTTAAAGTAAATAACGTCGCTATGAACTCACACTGAGTCCCGCAAATAAAAAGCAAGCCCGCACAGAACAGCTTGTCATATTAAAATGCAGTCCATGTTGTATTATCATCGTTTTCGCAGCATGAGCTCCGTGCAAAAACGGGCGGAGCAAAGTTTAGGCTATTACTAAAAAAGAAGAACTTCCTATATGTAAAACGCTGTCGGGGACAAGTCAAGGTGGGAAAAAAACAAACAACTTTAAGTGTTGTTATCTGTTTAGCCTGCGGTTTGGGTGCACATCTCCTTCTGCTGTTTGGTCCGCTGCCAGGTCCTCAGAGAAGAAGCTGCGGCGAGAAGTCCGTCAGCAGTTTGTGCAGGAGCTGCGACCACACCCCCCATAATGTGTGTGTGTGTGCGTGTGTGTGTGTGCGTGTGCGTGTGTGTGTGTGTGTGTGTGTGTTTGAGAGAGAGAGAGAGTCTAGTGGCCGCTTTATTAGGTGCACTTGCATTTTAATGAAAGCTAGTGAATCATGTGGCTGCAACTCCAAATAGCACAATGTGGGAAAAAGTGTTTTTATCCTTCAGTTAAATGCAAATTGTTTGTCTTGATGTTATAGGCTACTTTGTTTTATTTTACTGTATTGACTGAATTTTCTTTTTTCATTAATTGTGAGGACAAGTGAGAACACCCCACAATGTAAGCTTAAGTAGGCTACATTACAATAATAATAATAAAAAAATACTTTCATAAAGTTTTCTCAACAAACTAGGTAGAGGATAGAGAGCTGCAACACATTTAGTGTTCCACCAGATGGCACCATACAGGGTGATATAGCCTAATAAATATATTTTAACTTCAATAGAAGGACTATTTTCGGCACACAGTACATTTTAAAGTGTAACTAGCAATTTTGCTGATCAGGTGTATAATTAACTGCCAGAATCGGCACTTAAATGTAATTTCCTGACTTGTGGTAGTATTAATATGTTTTCTGCAGGGACTTGCAGTCTCCTGATCTGGACTAAAAACAGCAAGAAAAAAAGACTCTTAAAGGCTGACTGACAACAAAGATTAACCTATTACAAGAACGGATCTCAACTTCAACAAAGTGTCCACATGAAAAAAAACTGGGCACTTATCTTGAGACAAGATAAATGAGGGTTGACATTTGCTTTTTGTTTCCTGCATTAAACTGAAAGATGAGTGGTTGTTAATTTATACTTATTTATAGTAGTCATTTTGTTGCTTCGGTGTTATTTTTGTATGGAATGTGTCCCTGCATTTCAGAGTCTGCTAAAAACTCAACAACCAGCCTCATAAAAACCCCAGAAAAAAAGATAAAGACATGAACTCTCTCTTGCCTATAAACTACAAACATTTCTCAGAACTGCTACTGTGGAGACTCACTCATAAATGTGGATCACTTTCAAAAAAACAACTTTAACCAAAATACCTCCTCACAAACAGCATCTTTAAACTCCTTGGCTATAACCTGAAAATATCCCAATCCTTATCCTTAAATCCAAACCTTGAAACCCTTAAAAGATAGCAAAAAGGTTCTCATGTAGTGGCCCTCACAAGTGTAGAAAACACAACACACACACATACAAACAAGGTTCCGTGCTGCACGTGTAAAAAAACTACAGGTCCCACCTGCAGCTTGTCCAGTTCCGCGGCTGCGCACTGATGAGTGCGCGCATGGACACCGCACTGGCGCAGTGAGTGTGCAGCTTCCCTCTTGTTGCACTAACTGTGCAGCATCACTTCACTTGAAATAAACATAATCGGGAAAAACAAACAACTAGTAGGCTATAAAAAAAATAATATTATTTTCCTAAACTATAGCGTCTGTGTTTCTGTTTGCCTTTTCAGCTCCAATCAGGACATCCGGCTTGTGTTTTGCCTACTTACTTAAAGATATTGAAACAAATCCTGTAACCAGTATCATACTGGAGACATAGATGTTTCTTATTCCACCATATAACAACAACAATAATAAAGCCAATCAGCAGTTGTGTTGTTATTCCCTGAGATCGCTCTTTTGTTTTTTATTATCTTTTGTTTGATGAGTCGTTTTCCTTCAACGTTGCGCCTCTCCGCAGTCCTTTACGGTAGTGGTACTGATGCGGGATGAGTCAGGCTATATGATGCTGCTACTGCTGCCATTTCATCAGCAGCGAAACCCTACAAACACACAGCAAACACACAGATTATACCGCGGGATTCCCCTCTGACAGCGCGCTTCCTGCCTTCATAAACACCCCCGTTTCGCGGCGTCGAAACAGAGAACAGAGGCTTCTTCTGGTTTATTCGTGGCTCCGGGTGAAAGCGCAAGATCCGGTTTTTATTGCACCTGCTCTGGATGCGTTTTCTTTTCGGCTCTCGATTGGGCCTGACATTAACAAGGAAATCAGGCCGGACTCCAGGGCCTACAGCTGGACACCAGCCCCTGTTTTCGGGCTTTAAGACAAACATCGACTCCCGGAGGCTTTGTCGGAGTTCCGGTTGTTTTCCTGCGTCCCGAGGATCGATCCAGCCAGACTCGTTGGTGCCATGGAGCCCACATCAGCCTGGTCCTGAACAGCGCAAGGGAACAGCATAAGAAGAGCAACCATTCTGACCTAAACTCCACTCCTGCTCCAAGTAGGCTGTGTTTCTTAGACCATTTACAATCTGTATTTCTGTTATTTATCGTGTCATTAAGCCAAAACGTGGTTTCTTAACAAATCATTAGGTCTATTTAACAGCCATGATGTGCGCTGGTCTAAAAACAGCCTGCAGGAAAAACAATCTCTGTATGGCTGGTTGGAGTTCTTCCTAATCTTTATAAGACTTTGCAAAATACATGCAAATAAGCACAAACTCTGAAAAGTCAAATTTGTACGTTTAGGAAAAGCCTGTGGTGTGAATACTCAGTAAATATCACACTTCACAGATTTACCACAAACACAACAGTGATCGGCTACTATACGAGATATAAAAAAGTCCTGTCAATAACAGCCCCATTTAGATTTGAGATGTGACTGGAGACAGATCCGTCTGTGAATGTTTGATATGTGATATGCTGTGCGCAGTGGTGGACCTCCAAATTGCACTATAACGCATCCGGTGTGACAGCCCATGGCTGCTATTCACCGGGGATTCGGCCACTAATGTTTGCATACCGACCGTGCTACGCAACCCGACTCTACAGAGACACAGAGGGGAGATGGGAGGCTGCATGTGTTTGGCTCCCTGCCCGCCTGATGGCCTGGTCAGGAATAGCTGTAGTGTAAAGATATACTGCAGGCTATAGCTCTATTAAAGCACCTATTTAATTTAAGGATCTCCCAAATCACCAGAAGTGGAATAAGTAGCCTACTCAGATCCTAAAGTAGAAATTACATTGTCTACATTACTCCAAGCAAAAGTCCTGAATTCAAAATGTTACTCAAGTAAAAGTACATAATTATTACCAGCAAATGTATGAAACAGCAGCAGAATTGCTTTTTCACAGTGTCATATTATTTATTATATATCATTTTGGTTTTATCACTAACCAGTAGAAAAAGAGCATTTTAAGATTGTAGATTGTCAATGTGGAGCCAATTTCAGATGCTTTGTATACTATTGGGTTGTTTAGTAGTACGGTACTGCATCTTATCAGATAAGCATATCAAAGTATTTAGATGATAAATGATGTTAAGTAGGTTTTTAGAAGAGCTCCTGGACTCTCCTGGACCACAAACACAACATTAGGGTTAAATAGGCCTATACCATAAGTCAGTCAAGAGTTAAACCTGTTAATCATTAATGTAAGGGCAGCATATGAACATATAAGCAGTATTTAGTGCTAATTATGCAGAATGACCCCATTCAGTTATATAGTTAATCATTAATGTAATGCAGGATAGGCACGTATAAGTAAGGCTTGCTTTTGGCGTATTAACTTGTTTTGACTCTTTGAAGTTACTTGTATTTTTAATGACATGCAATTTTCATCTAAATGTTACATTTTAAAGGAGTTTTAGAAATATATTTTTAAAGATGATGCAGTGAGATATTTATTTGATAATGTTAGTTTATTCTTTGCTGTGAGGTAAAGAAACTTATTCTGTGCATAACCTGGTGGTGGAAGAAGTATTCAAATCCTTTACTTACATAAAAGTATGTATTATGAGCAAAATACACTTGAAGCGTCAAAATTAGAAGTATTTTGTAGAATGATGCCATTCAGGTAGTTTCATTATTATATATTACATTATTGGATTATTATAACAGATGCTTTAACATGTAAACAACATTTTACTGTAGCAGGTAACCTTTTCTTTAACAAATCAATAAATTTCAACGGTTGATTATATGTTTTGTAAATAAAGTCTTAATCTGCAAAGTAACTATAGCTCTGAGATAAAAAGTAGTGGAGTAAAAATAACAATATTTCATATTACAACAATCCAGCAGGGTCACACATTCAAATGCCAAAGCCTCGTACCAAAAAAAGCATTAGGAGACGGGCGATAATCCAAAAATCTGGCTTATTAAAACATCAATCGACGCCATCAAGTGACAGCATAAGAGGATTTTCTCTTATATCTCGTGGTTTTAATTGAATCACGCACTGAATACAATGAAGCACAGTAAGCCAGTTGAGTGTGTGTTAAATTGGAGGGGGTGCGTTTGGGCAGATAGCCAATTAAAGGTTATTCTTCAGTAACTGAATCAAAGGAAAGCCTAGAATATGTATTGTTGTGGTATTCTTTGCCCTTCATGTGATTCTTTGAATTCAATAGTAGCAGAGCAGTCTGTAATGTTATCAAAATATTGAAGTTATTTACTATAAATTATTACTGAGGACTAGAGGCACAGCAGAGGTCATGGGAATATAAATTAGTATTATAGCCTTGTGAAGACTGCCGGTCTCAATACTGCATGAATATTATAGAGGTAGAGGACATACCTAGTTGTATTGTAAAGATGGTAGAAGATGCAGTTCAGTCTTGCAGAGGCCACTACTCAAAACTGTACACAGCAATGTTTTATGCATTGTTTAAAAAGTCCTTAAAGTTCCCAAGAAAAAAATTCTCAGAGATCTAATGTAGACTGGTTTAAAGACATGTACAATAGTCGGTTGGTTCTTGAAGAAAACCCCTCTTAAAAATGAATCCCTCATCTGAAAATCCAGAATCAATGCAAATACTGTTCGTATCAAAGATTCAAAGACTGCTTTGTGCACTGGGGGGTTTCAGGTTTCCTAAGCTGCGTGTTGGGCAGTGATTAGCGTTCAAACTAGTTGTGATGTCTTGCTCTTACGCTCAGGTCTTAAACTCAGATTTTAAGGTGAGTACAGAGAAACTTCCCCCTTCAGCAGATAAATGTGTAGACGGCTTTCTAAATGTACTTAAACACTGCCCATACACTATTTTCCACAGTGGAGCTGACCCATCCAAGTTAAGTAACAATAAAAGAACACATTTATGAGATATTTTCTAACTGTAATGAATCTTAGCACATTTGGAAACTTTGCTTGGGCAAATAAACCTGGATAGGATTCCATAAAAGATCCTTATAGAGCAATATAGAGTTTAATGAATCATATTAATGAACACCGTTATGTTTGACACTTTAAGGGGAATAAAAAGGAGGTAGGATTCCATAAAAAGATCAGACAAGACTGACATTAAGGACATTAGTACCAAAGACATATTTAATGTCACAGAGTTCCCATGTGCTTATAAAGTAATGTAACATTTTCACTGCAGGACTTTTACTTGTAATGGAGAATTTGTATAGTGTGCTACTGGGGCTTTTAATTAAGTAAATGATCAGAATACTTTTTCCAACACTGGCCTAAAGTGAGGCAGTAGCTGTCATTATCACAGTTGGACATTAGCAGAACTTTGCACATAGGCCTATTAAAAACGACATTCTCAAGACAGATACAGAACAGATACAGAACAGAGACCATATCACAGGAACACTAGGCTACATGTTTTGTGTGTTTTTTTTTTATTTTTATAGAAAGGCCACAAGAAGTCATGGGAATGTTAGGAATAGTAGATAAGGAAACCGACAAAGTAGCCAAACATCAGTTTAAAGTTACTATTGAGGACTACACACACTGTGAATCCGTGAATCATTACACTTTTATGCGCAGTGGTGAAAGAAGTATTGAGATGTTTTAGATGTTTTACTTGAGTAAAAGCAATACTGCAGTGTAGAAATACTCTGTTACATAGGTAAAAGTCCTTCTAAATAAAGTAGCCTAACTTGTAAATAAAGCTGTCAAATAAATTATGCAGTGAAGTAAAAAGTACAATATTTGCCTTCAAGTTGTAATAGATGTAGAAACAGAATGTAAATACTCAAGTCTACTTCAAAATTGTACTCAAGTAGCCTTCAGTTGCCTACTGCAGTAGCTACTTGAGTAATTAAGTAGCCTACTTAATTACTTCCACTGAAGTAAAAAGTTAAAAAGCTCCTGCGAGTTGGCTTACAGTTGCTAAATATTGGGACAATTATTAAAACATATTGAGGGGAAATCTAATGTTTCTGCTCTCTCTCAATCTCTCTATCACGCACGCGCATTCCCAAACACTCATTGACGGGCGGTCACACCGGTAAGAGCGACAGACAGGCGAAGTCAAGTCATGGAGGCGATATGGCTCTATCAGTTCCGGCTGATCGTCATCGGGGACTCCACGGTGGGCAAGTCGTGTCTGATCCGGCGGTTCACGGAGGGCCGCTTCGCCCAGGTGTCGGACCCCACCGTCGGCGTGGACTTCTTCTCCCGACTGGTGGAGATCGAGCCGGGCAAGCGGATCAAGCTGCAGATCTGGGACACCGCGGGTCAGGAGCGCTTCAGGTGAGAACAGCTGGTTGTGGGTGGGACAGTTAAATTTATTTTAATACTCCTGTAAGAATGTGTGCAGCTGTCGAGTCTGTGATAAAGTCACTAGCTTGTTGTGCCTTACTTAGGCTACTGAATTTAATAGGCTACAGTCATTTCTGAGAGTTTTAGTTTATAATGTAACTTTAAAATGCCAATTAGTGACAAAAGTGGGACCCCAGTGGTGAATTTACATTTATTCATTTAGCTGACCCTTTTATCCAAAGCAACTTGCAATTGCTATATATGTCAGAGGTCTCAGGCCTCTGGAGCAATGAAGGGTTAAGTGTGTTACTCAGGGACACAATGGCTCTCACACCAAAGGCATGTCTTATCCATTACACCTCAACTTTTACATTTTCAATTAACAATTCAATACAATACATGGTAATCTATGGTATTTGTTAGACTTGAGAAGAGTACCTCTTCCGAACCTACACCATAAAAAATACTCTATCCAAGTAAAAAAATCTTTACAGTAATGGATAATTATTACCAATGAATTAATGTGTGAGCAGCATTTTCCTGTTGTGTTGTTGAGTTATTAGGCTATATATCGTTTAATCTATGGAAATTTATCTGCGTATTTAATCAGATGATCATTTGTTTTGTAAGAACAAAATTGGAATCTGAAAAGTAATTAATAAAAATAGCTGAGATGTAAATTCATGGAGTAAAATGTAGTCTATTTTTGTAGCGAAGTAGGGCCTAAGTAAAAACTAGCATCATGCCCATGAAGTCATCCAGGTCATTGCAATGGGAAGGTTAAAATCAGGGGCAACTGGACTTGGATGAAGAAACTTGAATATGATTCGTCTCTCATCCAAGTGGCTTCTTCAGTTCTGAACTTCTTGATTTTAAACTTCCTCAGATAAAAAACTGTATTAAAATTAAATACTCAAGTACAGTACAAGTACCTCAAAATTGTACTTGAGTAAATGCACTTAGTTACATTCCACCACTGGCCAGGGACTCATGATGTAATGTCATGTGTAATATTTTGTAATATTACACTATAAACATATAAAGACAATAACAGAAAGATAAAGTAAACATGAGAGATTGCAGATACACTGTGCAAATCTAAACAATTACCACCACTGTTGTATAGCAATAATATCCATCCATCTATCTATCAATCTGGCAAATCACAGAGTGATACAAAATGATTTAGCTTCACCATCTGCTCTTTTGAAACATCTGCTGTCTTTTATGGCAAAACAAAAGTCAGCAGTGCACATAGTTTATGTGGCGTTAAGACACAAAGAAGAACTGAGTGGTCGACACGAGCAGCTGACTGACAAAATGAAAGAGGAACTCAAACAAATTCAAGCAAATTAACGTCAGCGTAATCACAATAAACTGCTGCACTGACAGGTGATCTCAGGGAAATGTATTGCAGGATGACGGCCACGTAGCGCCACACATTTCCCCAACACTGAGGAAAATAAGGAAGATTGAACTCTGATTTATTTGGAAACTGAAAGAGTCATCCAGTGCGAAATGTTTCCCTGTACCGTGTGAATACTTAAATGGGAAAGAGTTGGTTGTTTTTACTGAGAGATCCATGGACTTCCTTTAGTGAAAATACCTCTAGCTGATCTCTGACCTCTATGTATTTTCTCAATAATACATAAAGAAGAACAGAATTATGAAAATCACATTATCCAAAACAGAAAATGCAGTAAATTTCAAGGAAATATGCATTTATCTGTTATATACAAATTGTCTAGTTTATATATTAATATTGTTTTCCTAATTCAGGATCTGAATGTATTTTGTTAATCTAATAAAAATAGATGACTAGTAGGCTACTTAATGTTAGGGAATACTAAGTACTTAGAGTTTAACGACATAGCCTGTAGGTCTCAAAACTGGAATTACTACCTGAGACTAATTACTTTGCCCGCACAAGCGAAGATCAGTTATTCAAATGAGCTTTCAGTTGAGACGAGCAGAGAAAACAACTAGAGGGCTTGTTTCTAATAAGTGAACCAATGAAAGTGCTCTTAATAGCTGAAATTCACATGATTCTGCCTGAGGAAGAATAAAATGATGTATCGGTCTGAAAGGTTGTTTTCAAATGGTGTTAATGACATGTTAAGAGAAACTTACTTTATTGGTTACCTTAAGGTGTGAGGTCAGGTAAATTTTATTAAAAAAAACTCTAGTCTCATGAGAGTGCAGGACTCACAGGCTCAACCTACGTGCTTAAGAAAAATAAAACATTGTCATTAAAAAATACAACAGATAATGTTATAGCGCTGTACATTACAGCTCAGTGATAATGAGGTGAAATGGGTAATGTCAGGATATTAGCTTGTTATTAGCTGATTATTACAGTGTTATTATTAAGATGTCCTGCCCCATTATTACCACCTATTGTTACCGCATTCTTGCTAATACAGTAACAAACACCAGTGTTACTCTCAAAATATTGCTAGACCAACACCTCTGTATTTGCAGTGGTATTACATCATGGTGTTCCTACGATATCGCCCCTTTATTACCTTCACTGTGAGACATTTCAAGCTAGTTTACCTTGGAAATGCTGATTAACTTAACTTGAAGATTGTCTTTTTTTTTTATTATTCAAGCTTTTATTAAGGATACACACCCGGTCCAAAAGACATACAATGAAAAATTTAAACAGACGGCACTAAAGTAGACAAAGTAAAAAACATACAGTCCACAATATCAAAAAGACCAAGTCCACAATATTACCTAGGCCTATTTACATATAGGCTAAAACGCCAATGATTCTGGAAAATAACCTAACTGAACTTAGTGCTGGGTTGGTCAGTGCTGAAATGATACTGTTTGCGGAGTCTAATAATCTACACATACATCTGTACATGAGATTGCGCAGCACAGCGGAGCAGGTGGGAACACCAACACTGACGAACATTTGGCTTACGCTGCTCCATCGTGGCACCTTAAGCAGCAGCCTCAAACCATCATTATATGCTACATTGAGCTTCTGCATACTGCTCTTTCTGTAGCACCTCCACAAATGGGCAGTATACATAATATACTAAATTTGCGAATCAACATATTAGCCATACGACACTGTCTGTAAATGTCCCTACCTATCATCAGACAGGTCGTCAGTTAGATATCCCAAATATTTAGCCTCATCACAGACTCTAAGGACAGTACCAGGCAGATAGATGTCAGGGAATGTCAGTTTCCTGTCCTCTCTACTCCTAACAATCATAATATTACTCTTCTTCGCATTATATTAATGTCAAAGTCTGAGCCATATTGAGAATAAACCCTCAGTAACTGTTGAAGACCAGCACTGTAAGGACAAAGAATCACCAAATCATCTGCGTACATCAAGTGGTTGATGATCGTGTTACCAACCATACAAGATGTTCCACAGCTGTTTAACATTTAAAGAAAGGGAGACAAAATACTTCCCCGTCTAACTCCACTGCATACATTGAATGGGGCCGACGCAGAGTTGCCCCATTACACATACATTGATTGATGAGCATACAAAAAGCCAGAACTCTCACTAAAGATTTAGGAACTCCTCTGTTTTCTTTTTCATGATTAACGCAATCAAAGGCTTTAGAGGCATCAATAAAACACATGAAAATGGTGGAATTGTGCCTGTTATACAAATCTAAAATTTCCTTCAAGGCAAAAATACACATATCTGTGCTGTGTTTAAAACCAAACTGTTTGTCAAAGGTCAGGACAAGCTTTTCCACCTTATTTAGTAAGGTCCTCTCCAAGACCTTGGATTAAGTGCTTGTCAGAGCTATAGGCCGGTAATTATCCACGCTATTTATTTTGCCAGCTTTGTCTTTAATAATTGGCACAAACATAACAGATAAAATGGAATCAGGTAAAATAACATGAACTAGAAACCCAGTAAAAAAAAATGGCAAGCAGAGGACAGACTTTTCTACTTGCAAATTTTAAATGTTCGGCAGAAATCTTATCTATACCACATTCCTTATTATGTTGTAGCAACATAATTGCATAATAAACTTCTTGTGGGGATACAGTCACATCTTCCTCATTATCAATATCAAAACAGTTGAAGAGCTCATTATAATGTTTCTGCCACAACTGAGTAATTTCCTCTGGACTGCTAACACCATTAACATTTGTTGGTAAACATGTTTTACAGTTATTCATTCTATTGATTTCTTTCCAGAATTCATTGGGACTATTGCTTTTCAGTTTCCTTGCAAGTGAGTCAGATCTCATTATATTTTCATTCCTCTTAATGAAACGTAACATATTTAAAGTTTGAATTTGTCCGTTTCTTATATTCAAATAGGGGACCGTGTTTTTGTCTGCCTGATTCAGCCCAAGCTTTGAAAGCCCTTCTAGCCTCAGCATGAAGCTCTTCAACATGTTAATTCCACCCTGGTTTAGCTTTATACATTTTGGTCTTATACAGAGGCCTGCTTGAGGCAAGAAGGGACTCCACAATACTGTCATACAAGGAACACAACTCAGTGCCATGTAGCGGGTTCTTACAGTTAATATCACAGCATGCAGACGGGTCTTTCGGTAAGTCGATGTTACTCAACAAAGTGTCAGACTGTACACAATATACTTCAAGATCCTCTTCCTTCTAGTTAGACCGGTCTATTATACCCACCCGCATGTCGTTGTTCACAGACAAAAGGGTAGGTAAATTGCCCAGATTTACAGATAAGGAAAACGCCACATGATCAGTCGTGACAAATTCATAATTAATCATTATAGTCTCTAAGGAGTCATGTGCATCAGCTGTACAGATGCAATGGTCTAACCATGAAGTTGTATGCCACGCCTCACTGATGTAAGTGTAGCTATTATCAGACAAAAGTACTTTACTGGATAGAATCAAACCATTATCAGAACAAAACTGCATTAAATGATTGGCAAATAAAGAGCTACCATCAGAAACATCAGCATTCATGTCACCCACAATAAAAAAGCAGGTGTAATCATTATCCTGAATAAAAGACATGACACATGCCAACCTGTTCATCTTCATTCTGGGAACTCTCATAAGTTGCATAGATGCTCAGAATGATGAATTTTTTTCCATGGATATCATGCTGACAGACGAGACCAGTCCCCTTCTGTCAAGATGAGCGGAGCCAAATGTGTGTGTGCAAGAATGCATATTTGACTCATCAAATCTCCACCACAACTGAACTCAATTCCTATAGCCCAGTCAACGTCTAGTCTGACCACGTTAACCAGCTGGTCATTCTTTTTGTGCCATAGCACTGCAACGCCGCCACGTATTCTACCGTGAACTATTTCAGTGCTCAAGTCAGTGGTAGATTCACCCACCCCACAGACGTATGCAGGGAATTCAGTCTTTAGGTTAGCTTAAAAATGTCACAGTACATGAAATGTACATGCTCTGTATTTATATCGCACCTTTCTAGTCTTTTCGACCACTCAAAGCGCTTTTACACCCCATTCACTCACATTTATAGACTGAGCCTAAGTGCTCAAACAGAAACCAACATTCACACACTGGTGGAACAGCCGGCAGGGGCAATTCAGGGTTCTGTATCTTGCCCAAGGACACTTCAGCCTGGAGGATTGAACCACCGACCTTCCGATTAACAGACAATCCGCTCTACCTCCTGAGCCACAGCCAACCCATCACTTGTCTCAGAGAGTTTATACACCACAAAGCGGCGCGATTTATCTGCTTCACTGTGCCCAACACGTAGTCCTCAGGCATTATATGACATGATATTGATATTTAGACATTAATGGCTGTGTGATTTACACTGTTATACAAGCTGTACACTCACTACTTTACATTGTAGCAAAGTGTCATTTCTTCAGTAAAGATATAATCAAATATTTACAAAATGTGAGGGCTGTACTCACTTTTGTGAGATACTGTACATTTCTGCAATAATCTAACTAACAGTAAAACAACTTAACCACATTTATACTACTTTTCAAGTTAAGAGGATTTAAATTCCAAATGTGTTTCAGTTTACATGTATAAGGCTGTTGTCAGGTACCCCCTCTACCGGTGGCACTAATCTTTTCTTGTTTAAGCGTCTATTTTGAATTTGGATACATGACTTATCTGTAGTGTATAAGTTGTTGATTATTTCCATGCTTCAATTTTACCATGGTCGATAACATTTGAAAAGGCTACACCAGCCGCACGTTTATAATTTTATCGGCCGGTAAAAGGTAACACAGTGGACGCTGTACTGCCGACTGGCGTTTGGGGGTGTAATTGCTGATTGACGGACACACGGACGCACAAGTATAAATGCATGGCCACGTGCGTAGCTACACATGTAGACCTTACGCAGGAGTATAAATCAAGCTTTACACTCCCTAGTTAAATCAACACATACGTATCTGACAAACGACTCAAATACGCAATAAATTAATGCAAGTTTATCTTTCAAAAACACGTACAAGTTGTGGTCAAAATCAAAAATGTATCAGAGCTCTTTGAGTTACAAAGAAGAATTAAGCAGACATAACTAAATGGGACTGTAATGATTTACAGTGTTGTTTTTAATGGGCTGTTCTGCAAAAATGCTACCAAATAATGTATGAGAAGAAAACTATATGACATTATTAAATCTGGTGATACAACTGTTGATACATTGGCTGGATTCATATGCTTCTGACAGCCATAAAACAGCATCGTACCTTGTAAAAGCACTGACACTGAACCCCCGACCTCATCACTTTAAAGTCTAACATCAGTGTGTAGAGGGCTATAATAAAGCCAGAATGATGTATGCCTCAGCCTAAAATGTGTCAAATATGCATGCTTGCACACACATTTGGCTCCGCTCATCTTGACAGAAGGGGACTGGTCTCGTCTGTCAGCATGATCTCCATGCTAACCGCAACATGTCCCTCAGAGATCTTTTTCCAACACCAAGGGACCAAATCTCAGTGTTTCTTACAAATACATCTGTGATCTGATAATTTTTCTCTCATAAACTTGTTAATCTAAGAATCCCCTCATATAGGGAGCCTGGTAGTTTTCCTCAGTTTGCTGTCTTTATTTGTCCTATGTAATAGTGACTCAATAATTATGGGGGGTTTGGAGCATTGATTGGACAAAACAAGCTTTATTAAGACATGAAGTAAATTTTTCCCGACATTATTCAGTATTTACTTACTTTAAGTTGTCCTTCTTGTGTCGCTGTTTATCTCAAATGTATTAATTTAGTGGCAGGTTTAAAGCTTGCGGACAATATTCTTTGCTCCACTAAGGTAGCCATTTTGACATGTGTACTGTAGCCATTTTGGGAAAGTACAGTACGTAAGATGTACTAGTACTGACGTTTTTAAATATTTTGGGATTTTGTGACAACGTAGTTAGCCTCCCTTCTGATTTGACTCTACCTCACCGTCTGTTCTCTACTACTGACGCAGATCTCATCTTACTCACTGCCGTTTCATCTGCGTGGTCCTTCCTTCCATAAATATATAAAAATATATATAAATATATATGTGTATTTGATTCGAATCCAATGAATAACTCGCTGGATCTGAATTCCTGCCACCTACTCCTCCTCCCTTATCCTCTCTGTCGACTAACCCTCCCTTCCTCCTCTTTCATGACACGTCTCTCTTTCCGTCTTCCTCCTCAAGTCTGTAATTTTCCTTCTCGTTATATTTGTGTTGACGTTCTCTCTGTGAGGATGTTGTGGGAAGATAGACTCATCATAAGAGGGTTGGTGTGTGTGTGTATGCATGCAGGGTGTCACATCTTGTCAACATCTCGCAGCACTTCTCCTCCCTGTCACGCTGCAGTGTTAGATCTGTAAAATCAAGCACCACAATTATAGTTTCCACTCGACTGATATTAACTTTAATGGCTGATATTGATGCTGTAGTATCAAAGTTACCACTGTTTGTGCGGTCATTCATTGTAGATACTGTTTTGTTTGTTGGCAGTGCTGTTATATTTCAGCTCATGTTTAGTTTAAATTAGTCAAGATGCATATGAGACATTCAAAAATGCATTAAAAATCAAATGCATTTAATTAATGAACTGCCCACTTAAACTGTGGTTAAAAAGGAAATGAGCAAGTTTCCTTTTAATAAATTATAAAATGGCCAGTAAACAGAAAATTAAGCTATTTGAATAATTATTTTAGTTTTATTTCAGTTTTATGTGTTGGATATACGTATTATTGCTCTCTAAGAAATATTTTTTAAATAACACCTTCCTTGTTCTGTCATGGTAAAATAAGCAATAAATGATAAATAGACCAGTTGTTCCAGCATGAAATCAATCCATTTTGCTATTTAAATCATCAAGGCAAACAAACTGGTCACAGTAGCTAGCAAAATGACCCAGATTATCATTTTGTACTCTAAGCTACTGAAAACATCTTCTTGCCATCTAATTTGTTGCTAACTTCACAGCTCCTCTACCCGACACCTCCATCACTTCTGCTTCTTTTACTTCTTTCACACCTCCTGTCATCAGTCTCTTCCTCTAATTAGCTTCCCCTCTGGATCTACCATGTCTCATTATTCCTATCTATGATAGCGGCTTATCTCTCTGTCTCAATGTCCTGAACAGAGATAATAGTCCTTCCAAGATCCCAAAACCCAAGAGCAAAAGTGTAAGGAACAGAACAGATTAATCTGTGTGTGTTGTCTGCTGTAAGCTGCAGATGTTAGCATGTCCGACAAACTAGTTTAACCTTTGGTGTAACCTAACCCATTGTTAAAGCAATGTTAGATTTCAAAGACAAGGAGCATTTTGGTAGCTAACACAATGCTAAGAAAAGCAACACTAACAATAGCACATCCAGTGTGTAGTATTTTCCCACTGTGTGGGAGCTGGTCCCGTATGCTACTATATGAGTAGGCTGATGTTAGTGAGTCTCCTGCTCTTTATTTGATTTGGGGAAGTTTACACTCCAGCAACCCGAGCCAAACTTAACCGAGATAGCATTTATCACTTCTCATCTTAAGTATTTTCCACCCACTATATATACAAATATATAAGTACAAATCTAACCACTGTCTTGTGTCCAAGTGGCTTAATCTTAAAGTTTGTTTTAATATTCATAGTATACCAGGACTACCTATCTCTGTACTCTGTGATACAGTGACAATGCTGTTTCTGTATATCCATCTTGTACCCAGATGGGAAGTCCACTGGAAATATTAAAAGGTCAGCTGGAGACAGTGTTTTCAACCTATTCATGGCATTAATGTTAAATCAAGTAACTATCGCTTTAACTGATAAAATGTCTGATCTTTATCTCCCCCTCCATTTTACAACCTCTGCAGGTCCATCACCAGGGCTTACTACCGTAACTCTGTGGGCGGGCTCCTCCTGTTCGACATCACCAACCGCCGCTCCTTCCAGAATGTCCACGATTGGCTGGAGGAAGCTCGCAGCCACGTTCAGCCGCACAGCATCGTCTTCCTATTGGTGGGGCACAAGTGTGACCTGGAGGCACAGCGCCAGGTGTGTCCAGTAAAAAAGTGAAATGTGAACATAACAATATTCATAAAGCTTTGTTGAGTGAAAGTTTGTTGCTGGGGATAGTGGTTATTTTGAATGTTATCTAACATACACTTCAGCAAAGCCTGCAGCATTAAAAATAACCTTTTGTTCACATTTAGATCAGCACACATTTGGATCAGAGGCGAGTTGTCATTGTTTGTTTAATTCTCTTGGGGCAGACAGAAAGCAAAAATATCACTATTGAAATTTAGACATTACAGTTTGACACTGCAAAACACTCACACACTCAAATAATACAATATTGCAGGAGCAGGATTAAAATCAAACCAACCAGGAAATTATGTAAGGTTTCCCGTCTTAGCCACTTCAGTCTGATCTTGATCTGTTCACTCTCGTTACTTAATGTCCAAATAGAAGGCTCATTAACAAGCCACTTATGACACACATCTCAAAATTGTAAGTGCTGCTGCCCAGCTTAGATGATTTGATGTTTTTGTTTGGTTAATGTTAGGTTATGTTGCCAGATGATCTTTATTGATGTCTGAGTGTGGAGTCTGGCTTATTTCAGCATAACCAAAATGCAGAATTGAGACACTATCTAGCAACTTTGGAAGCAGCGTGGTCACCACTGACTGTAGAAAAGACAGGGATGTAGCCACCGTAATGTCATGCATTGGTTTGTCGATTACCATTTTAAAGTCTCTTTAAAGCTTGTAAGTTGCATCCATTATTCACATAAACTGCGACTTTTAGGATGCTAATTTTGGCTAGCGAAAAACAGTCTTAAAGAATACAGAGTGGAAAAAATGCACAGCCGACTCCTTACTGTGTCTTTTAGTACAACTGACTGTTGACCAAGACATTTTTAGGTGACCGAAATGTTAAAATTAATTTTCATAAACTGAAAATAAACTGTGAAAAAAAGTTAAAGTTCTTCAAAGAGTTCTTAGACGAAAACACAGACACCCATGCCGTTGTAGCGACTTATCAACGCCCTAAAGCACACCCTGCTTTATAGTCTGTTTTACTCATAATGGAACCATAATTTACAAACTGAACATCATACTGTATTGAAGAAGACTTGAAACTAGCCACTGAGACCACCTAAGGTAATAAATCAAGTGAGAATTATACATACGCCCTTTTTTACTTTCTCACTCCTGCCACGGACGCATCCAACCAATGAGCGGATTGAACAATCTGATGTGGCAAAGTGAGGCATTTTCGTTAGCTTGAATTATTTTCTGTTTGAAACGAGACTGAGTCAAAGGGAAAACACAAAACTTTTACCAACTCATCCACTGATTCACACCAAAGCAAACAAACTATAGGTTTGATAATGCCCCTACTTGCTGCATTTAGATCCTGGCACTCCTTAGTTCCTGAGAGGTTTTGGTTCAAAAAGGGGACTTTTTCAGCTGATCTGGATTTAAAGAGGTGGTATTATGCTTTTTGCCTTTTTCTCTCTCCTTTATTGAGTTACCTTTTTGTGCATGTAATAGGTTTGCAAAAACACCGCCCTCAAAAACACCGGTGGAAAAACACTGAGCTGCAGCACAAGCATCTCCTCTCCCTTCCAAACACTAGCTACCCTCCAAGCAGTCAATGGACATGAAGTTGTTACTGTGATGTAGAGACAGCTCAGTTAAAACTTTATGGATAAAAGATACTTTTGTTACAGATAGAATAACTCACCACTCTGAAACTCTTGCTCCAGTCCAAATAGCCAACCTGGTCAGCAACATGTAGCCTACAACTGAAACTAAGCTGTATAAGGGCTTCTCGCTGACCCGCCCTTCTCTGCTTCTGATTGGCTATTACTGGCTTTTCGCTGACCCGCCCTTCTCTGCTTCTGATTGGCTATTACTGGCTTTTCGCTGACTCGCCCTTCTCTGCTTCTGATTGGCTATTGCCAGCTTTTCTGCAGCAATGTGCAGTATGACAAAAAATATGGTGTTTTTTGAAAATTAAACCATGTAAACTGGTACAACCCCTAAATAGGATTTTGAACCTGAAAATGAGCATAATACCACCTCTTTAAGACCTCAGAAAAACAGAGAGTGTGGTACATCTACAAGCTCTTGACTGCCCAGTTCCCCACATCGGAAAGTTTCATGTCATCTCATTTGATTTTTTAGGTGACTCGCCAGGAAGCAGAGAAGCTAGCGGGGGCTTACGGGATGCGCTATGTAGAGACATCGGCCCGCGACGCCATCAACGTAGAGCATGCCTTCACCGAGCTGACCAGAGACATCTTCGCCCTGGTGCGGTCCGGCGAGATCACAATCCAGGAGGGCTGGGAGGGCGTGAAGAGCGGGTTTGTCCCCAATGTGGTTCACTCCTCGGAGGAAGTGACCAAGAGTGACCGCCGCTGTCTATGTTGATCTGGGAACAGTTTTGGGACTGAGGGTGAAAAGGGGAGAGATTCAGGAAGGATTCAGAGGGGAGTGGCTGATGGACTGAGGTATCAGCCTTCTGACTGAAACTGTTGGTAACCCTCTGTTATTGTTTCTTCAGACTGGATACAGACAGGGAAGTTCAATGAAAAGGCTGGTAGAAGGCACCTTGAACGTGGGTAAATAGCTGAAAGGTTGTGCCCATTTCTGTATACCTTTTATTTCTCAGAGAGGAAGGATCACCAATGCTCATTTACCTGCGAGGGCTCCCATGATTCAATTCCTCTAGTTTTGGTTTGGGCTTCCTACCTGAAAATCCCTCCCTGAAAGTTTTAGAAAGGCCTTAGAAAGAGGATCCGTTTTGGTTCTTTGCCAAAATACGATGAAACTCTTGACTTGTTTAATCTTTCTTTCTCCCGTCATCTCTTCCTTCACTTCTCCTTCAATCAACCACTTCTTAATCTTCTCCTCTCCTCCAATATGCAATTACATGATCACATACGAGGCGATCACTTTTACGTTGGTGTCCAACATCCTCCTAGCACATATCATTCGAACAAAGTTTATTCAGCACAGGTTCAACAAGAGTTGTGTTTCTCTTTCACCCTCTGTGCTCCACATTCCACTATCAGAGCTCAATGGAGGAGTCCTGGAGGTCCTAAATGTAACAAGGGATGACCGATTTCCTTCCTGGAGCTGTGATTTTGTTGCCAGAGACCACATAATTTCTCTTTGGAGCTATTTAGGCCTCCAGTGAGCTCGATGACATTGACCAGATGGTTATATCCACTTTCATTATGCTAAATACCACACTATAACAAAACATCGTCACCCATCAAGTTCCAAATGGACTCCTAAAGCAGGAAGAGACAACGTGTACAGCTTAACTGACCGAGGTGGACTTTTTGGACTAGCTTAACAACTCCCAACTGTCTGCCTTTAACTGAGGACTTGTAAAGGGGGACTAATAGGAATGTTGGAGCCAGAAAGCACTTTAACAGCCAAGTCCACTTTAACTGTGGAGCCTAATTTGGGACTTTGGAGATAATTTATTTCTTGAAAGCAAAGCAAACAGAGAAGGACCAGACCACGGACTCCTCAAAAGAACTATATTATCCACAATGCACGCATAAGGATAATATAATCTTGCAAAGAAAGTAGTTAAATGGCAGGCATTAAATCAAGCCAACACAGATACAGGCATGGGAAACTACCAGAAAGTTGTTCTGAGCAAGTGGTTTAAATGGGTTTTTTATGTGTGTGCTCAAGTGTAATATCTCATCAAACCTTTATTTTTATTTTAATACACTTCAGTGCTACAGGTTGATGCAACCACCAAAGTTACTTGATTTTCTGCAGTTCAAAGACACAACTTACACTTTGAAACATAATGCTTTGGAAGGTAGTTTTAGATGAATTCTAGGTGTTAAATGCACTTGTCTTGGAGACACATACACTCAGTTGCCAGAAAAAAATAACGCTAAAAGGTTATATGGTTCAGTTTAAGAAAGGAGTTGATTAAAATTTATGATCATTTTAGAGGTTGTAGTTTGTAGTGCTGTTAAATTGTATTGTGTCATCAACATAAATGGCTTGCAAAAGTCGAAGTTGAAGCAACACTAATCTAATTCAAACAAAACTGAACATTATAACCTCCATGAAGGTACGATTTATTGCAGGGCTGTTGTATCAGACTGCATTAATTTTAGCTAGCTGTACCGAATACACTGGCCACTGATTGTATATAATTCCTTCCCAATGTAACTCTGTCAGTAAACAGTCTGTGGAAGAAGCTGCCAACAGTGTCTGTCCTGTGATAATGGCAGCTGAAATAGCCATTGTCCAACCCCACTGTCTCATTAGCAACAGACAAAAAGTGGCTCCAGTAATTTCAACACACACGATCATACAAAAGTTGTAACATCACATTTTTCAGATCCCTAACACATGAAATGGGCCGGACGAATAGATCCAAACTATTCACAAAACCACTGCTGTGCTAACGCTCAGGCGACGAGGTCACAGCAGGTGTTCATCACCAATTAAAGACAAAACACCTGTTTTGACATCACCGTTTGGGCTGTGGCCAACATGTTTAAAGGTCTGACTTGCCCTTTTAAGCCGAATTTACCTTTTAAGCAGGTTTATTTCACGCTTTCACTTAAGATGTCAGGCCAGTTATTGACTTTAAAGGAAAATCACAGTGAATCATACTGTTTCATTGGCTTGTAGACAATGCACACATACATGCAGCAGGTAAACATAGATAATTGACACATAACACGAGTAATCTACTTGCAGATTTCCATTCAAAGTACACATTCTTATTATTCTTACATCTGTTTTGTGTTTTTGTGAGCCACATAAACTTACCATATTACTGACACAGAACAGAGAGACTTTTAGCATTGTTAGCAATTAAATGTACCTTACCATGTCTACCGTAAGTACCTGGATTGTTTGGTGTAGAGCTATACTTCTATACACCTTTTTGTTTTGCAGAATGCTTAGTAAAGATATTTTTTCTTTATATATGATTTGATTAGTATTTCACTTTAAAACTTATTTTGACCCTTAATCTGATATAAATCCTAAATGAATGCCTATGCTATATTTCTTTTTAACCTGTGTAGATCTGTGAGGAAACTGTAAGTGCTTCATGTTCTCACACTGTATGCCTTCATTTTACACGTCTCCAAAGAGTTCTGCTTGTGTTATCTTATTTTTACATTGACGTGTCAGTCGAGGAAACGGTGAGATTTTACACCCAAGTTGTCATACAAGAAATGTGTGAATGAGAAACACTTCCAGTCAATGCGACACACCCTTTTCCTCACAAAAAGCTTTGACAAAGGTGACCTTAATGTTTTAAGACTTGACTGAAAATCATCCAAATTGCAGTCCATTTCCATGGCTGCATTATTCCTTAGTGAAATAAGTGAAATGTTGCCAGACAGAAAAGATCACTCTTAAACAAAAAAGCCTGAGTTCTCCCTGATGCTTGTGTTTTTGATATTCGACATTGAGTGTTATGTTTTATCCCACAAACGCTTTAAAAGACAGTCTGTTTTCCTTTCTCTGCTTGCTGTATCATCGCCAGTACTTTCTGCCAAAACACTTTTAAAGGTCCCTAAGTGGACATCATGGATCAGACAGTTCAGAAGTGTTAAGGTCTGCGTGGGTGGGTGTGGATGCAGCCTTTGTGTGTGTGTGTGCAGCTCCTCCTTGTGGGCTGCCAAGACTCTTTCAGCAGATGTCAGCCAGCTGGTAGATCTGCTTTGCTGTGCAGCACCCAGTTGGATATCTCTAAGCTCTGTAATATCTTGCTTCTACTCTGAAATATTGTTTTAGAGAAATAAAGTTGTTCCACATTTGGGTAATAAGCTTATTAGCTTTCTCGCTGAGAGTTAGATGAGAAGATACAACTGCTAGCAGCAGCTGCTTAGCTTAGCTTAGCATAAAGACTGAATAAAAATCTACCTACCAGCACCTCTAAAGGTCATTAATTAACATGTTATATTGTTTGCTTAATCTGTACAATAACCAAAGAGTAAAGATAACAGTCTGTAAAACCACTACTTATTTCTGGGAGAAGTAGCTTTCTGGAGTAAGCTCCCGTAAAACCACAATTTGTCATTTTTACACTTTAGTTTTTGTACGGATTAAAAAAACAAGGTATGACGTGTTAATTAGTGAGCTTTGGAGGGGCTGGTAGGTGGATTTCGTTACCTTGGGAAAGAGACTGTCAAGCTGTTTCCCCATAGTTAGTCTTCATGCTAAGCTAAGTTAACCAGCTATGGGCTGTGGCTTAATTTTAGAGTACAGACACGAGAGTGGTATCTATCTTTTCATCTAACTCTCTGCATAAGCGTACTTCCCAAAATATTGATCTATTCAACAATATTCTACAATAAAATACAAAGTCTATAAAATGTCATGTTTGGAATTTACTTTTCCACCTCCTTCGAACAAAGTTTTTGCTCCCTTATGCATTTGCTGTCCTATGAAAACCACATCATCTCCAAACTTGATGACACTGGATTTTTCAGATGAACTAAAAGATAAAATATCCTCAATGGGTTGAGAAAGTTCTGCTACTTCTTAGGCTAAATAAACTAATAAATAATCTGAAAACGGATAGTCAAAAGCTTTAAAAAAGCACTGTTTTTCTGTGCTTGTGTAAAGTAGTGTATTTTGGAGATACATGGTTTTATAGGACAGCAACTTTATTTTTCTATTGTCAAAATCCAGGTTAACTTATAACGCCTAAGGTCACGGGAAAATGTACTTTAATTTACTTTAATGTAACGCTGAAGACTTCATTGAAGGCTTAATTTTCCACTTTCAGTGCTGTTGGACAGCAGAAAAACATTATACCCTCATGAAACTTGTCACATCCAAACAGATTTAAAATGTTGATTCACTGTGTTGCTTTCTGACAATAGGATGGCAACACACATCTTATCTCTGTTTTGTGCTGAAATGTTTGACGTCCTTAGTAAAGAGTAAAATAGCCAAGTCAGGTCTTATCCTGATGCTTCTGAGCTTAGAGAGCATTTAGCTGATTCCAGTAAAACACAACTCAATTACTGTGAAATAAGCAGCAATCAATTAAACACTGAAAGTGTAGGAAAGAGGAGGCCTCTCTAATGGCCCTGTCTTTCCTAGAAGCCCAATCAGCTGCTAAAGGTCTGGAAGTGACTGTTAATGTTTTTGGCTTTGCTGCGAGGAAAGCGAATTAATTTTCTTCCCCGTCTCCAATGCAAAGTCTTCAGTAAGTCACATGCAAATCCCTGAACTTGAAAGAAGCAGTTTTAGACAACTTGGCTGGCCACTCTGTCACGTTTGTCTCCTTTTTTTGTCACACAAGCCGCTTCAGTCTTATTATTGATCTGAGGCTTGGCTTGGTGCGAACAAAGATGTGAAAATTCACACTTCAAAACACATGAAGTGAGGAAAAAGGGCACGTTGAAGAGATCACACTCGAACGATGGAAAGCAGTTCCATGCTTGACAGTAAAGCAATTTGGCTTGTTTCCAGAGAAACGTACAGGGTGATTTACTGGCACTCTGCACTGCTCTCTGCCAGGATCTTTGGCAGAGTTTGGTTTTGTTAGGGCTGCTTTCACACACAGAATGCATAATACTACTGGACTAAAGACGTTGCTATCAACAAAACTGCACCCTCACACTGAAAATAGGCTTCTGTTGTAATTCTATTGCCACATTGTTACAAATTTATGTTTGAAGGAATAGTTTTTTGGGAAATATACTTGCTTGCTTTCAAACTGGGACTTATTTGTACAATAAATATGAAGCTAGCCAGCAGCCTGTTAGCATAGCTTAGCATAAAGACTGAAAAACAGGGGGCAACAGCTAGCCTAGCTCTGTCCAAAGGTAACAAAATTCACCTACCAGCACCTTTAAAGCTCAGTATTTAAGACTGCAGGACGTAAGTATTTTAACTGTTACACTTTTTGTACAGATTAAGCAAACACAAGATATTTAACATATAACATGTTAATTAGTGAGCTTTAGAGGTGCTATTGGGTGGCCCTTGGACAGAAACAGTATGTTCCCTCCATTTCCAGTTATAATGCTAAGCTAATCTCCTGGATATAGCTTTATATATACCCTACATATATGACATTGGTGTCAATCTTCTCATCTAACTCTCAGCAACAAAACAAATAAGTAACAAATATAATTTACTGTAAAAATAAGCGTCATCATATCCTTTGCAACTTTTGACGTAAATAATGTTGCTGTTCTTAAAGAAAATATGTCTCACAGTGAAGCCTGAAGAGGAGGGGGAATTCATCTCCATTTATTTTAGGGAATGTTCTGGCTGTGACCAACAAGCCGGTCTACCTGCCAAAATAACATGGAGGTCTAATAATATTCTAAGAAGCTGATATTATTGGGACTCATAAGATTTTGGAATGTCATTAGTCTGAATATTTCAAGACTTTCCAAATTGTCCTTTTCTTTGACTTTGCACACACACATTGTTTACTGTCAAAGGAAAAGCTAGTGATTCTGACAAACCTAATGTCAGGTGGTCTGTTGTTTAATCTTTGGCTGGGGTTTTTTTTCTCTGACAGCTCAGCTCTGTATTCAAAAGCATGTGTCTGTTGGGTGACAACAACTATTCCCTGCCCTCAGTGTAACACAGGAGCCGTGGTACAATAAAAAAACAATGTTTCACGTGTTTTTTTCAACACTTTCAACTGTACAGACAATACTGTGTATCACCGTCCTTTATCCTGCTGGGTTAAAGCGGACAGTGTCTCTTCCTCTGCTCTAGTTATCTCTCAATAAACTGAAATGTACTAAAAAAAAGAAATAAAACGTGACTGGAAAAATAAACCTCATAGTATTATTTTATTTTTTACACAAAGTGGTGGCTTTTTTCGTCTCAGGCTGGCTGGTATATTGTGAGTATTTGTGAGGAAAGATGTTGAAAATTCATGTTCACAGTTATGATCAACAAAAAAATTATTTAATTCCCATCTTTTCTTTTTTTTAGAAACTAGCTAATCTTGCCCCCCAGCACATGTGGGGCTTTCCAGTGCTTTAATCCATCTGTGACTTTTGAGGGGCTTGAACACCCAGATTCAAAATAGTCAAACTATTGTGCCCATACTTGTTATGGAAAATTTTTTAGATTGTTGTAAGGGGTGGGGATGGCGCATGCTTTTGGTGTGACAAACCTGGGTTCAATCCCCCATTGTGTCCCTGAGCAAGATATTTAATCCCTAGTCGCTCCAGAGGCGTGCGACCTCTGACATGTATAGCAATTGTAAGTCGCTTTGGATAAAAGCGTCAGCTAAATGAATAAATGTAAATATTAGGCTACATTTTATTATTAAATAGATTGTATGTGTCCCAATAAATTGTGTCATTTTGTAAAGTTTACAATATGGAAACACCAGCAAATGGTTTTGAAAGGTTGATTTCTTTTTATCAATTAATGTGTTGGAATGGAAATTAGTTCCCATTTTCACTACCATTAACACATATCAGATTTTTGAATTTCTTTTTATTTGTGTTAAAACAGCAATGCTTGAGAAATAAACGCTTAAGAGGGAAAATAGACATAGGTCTAACTCCCAATACCATAGTTGCCAATTCAAGTAATACAGTATGAACATTTAATATAAAATGTTCTGACATCACATGAAGGCCGCAAACATCAGCAGAACCAAATGTGCCCAAGAATCTGCGTGCTATTGTTTGGAGTTCTGTCATTGACGTGAGCTGAGGAGGCGTATTCATCTTGTTGCTCGGGACGATGGATGTATCTCTCTACTGTTGACATCTTCAGCATCAACCTTGTAAGTGGTTTTCAAAACATCTTGAATTTCCTCTAAATGAGAGACCGTTTCCTCTTCCTCCACAAACCCCGCACATCTGCCTTAACCGGGAAAAGCAGCCGTCTCACCTGGAGGCCCAGACACAGGTGTCCCAAAAGTGAAGTGGTGGAAGAAGTATTAAGAACCTTAAATTAAGTAAGTCGCAGTAGTACTAAATACCACACTGTGAAAATACTCCAAAATACTGTGAAAGTCCTGCATTCAAGACCTTACAGTAGGTAAGTGTGTAAAGTGTCAGAATTAAAAGTACTTATGCAGAAAAATGTTCCCTGTCAGTGTTTTACTATATACAGTCCTATACTCAAGTGTAAGCAAAAGTACAACTAACCTGGAGTTGGTAGACTTAGTTGCACTCCACTACTGACCAAAAGTGCCGGGTTCATGCCAAATGTTATAGCAATTTGATAACTTACTGGGAAATCGCAATATCGTTGTCGCAATTTTGTCTTTGGGGGGGAGGGGACAGTGTTAAATGTACTGTAGTCCCACAAATGACCACTGGGTAGGAGCACTGAGGCGGGTAAACAGTACAGCTTTGAGAAATAGCAACCAGTCCTTAAAACAAATCAGAAAAGCAGCTTCCTGTTCAGACAACTGCACGAATGCATTGAGTCTGAATGGCTTACAGGGTTTCCTCTCACTAGCAACTTTTTTAGGCTTCTTTTTGCAAAGTTTGAAGCTGGAAGAGGAAAGGATGAATGAAAGGAAAATCACAAGGAAGCCACATTCGGCAGGAAGTCAGGGAAAAGTTATAGATATAGCTGTAGGAGAAAGGACAGGAGAGATGAACTGAGGGGAAAACAATCATTTCAGCAACAGGTTGAAAATTATAAGCTTATAGGAGACGACAAGTATAATGGAAATAATTATAAAGCATTACATTGGTTTATTTATTTATGGTTATCCAATTCATTTGTCAAGTCTTTAATTCCTTTATATGTAATTGGACAGTTAAAATCAAAATAGACTGAATTACTAAGCATTTCATCAATTGACATTGAAATTTGCAATAAGAAATCATTTATTAACTTATAAATTAATACAGCATAAAATAGGTCAAATTACTGGGATTTGTAGAAACAACATCAATAAAGTCAATAAATACATACTTTTAGTAATTTAGTCTATTTATTTACGGATTTATTTTTAAAATTATCATCAAATCCTGTCCTTATTTTCCAGTTAGAGATCAATGAATGAAACGCTTCATAATTATTTTCATGTTGCAAAACCTTTTCTAACCTGAAGAAGAATGAACACACAGAGCAACAGGTCAAGGTCTCGTCTCTTTGCCCAAATGTTCTTCTTTTACTTCATTCATCGTTTAATGAATACAGTGAGAGACAAATAAATACAGACAGAACAGCGGCTAAAGGGGAAGAGGAGGGGGAGAAGGAAAACCGGAGAGGAGAGGAAGAAGAGGTTCGAGTGTGTAAAGTCAGGAGAACGGAGGAGGAGGCGCCGGTTTGGAGCAGGACCAGTCGATCCTTCTGAACCCCTTAAAGTCCTGTAGTGAGTGAAAACTGGAGCCACAAGGCAGAACTCGTTTTATTCTGT